TGAAAAAGCGCTGATGCCTGGTATTACGAATCAGAAAAGATGCTACCCGCAGAAGCGGTAATTTCCCGAAGTGTGGAGCATCTCATCCTCATTGTGCTCATGCGCAAGCGCAAGGATGGCAAGCATTCAGGAACTGGCATGCTCAAGGAAGTGCGAAATGAACGCGCAATTCGATGAGAGCCAAGTCGGAATCGTTCTCAGTGTTGGCAAGAAAGAGTTTGCTTTTGAAAACATTGTGGCTTCACGACAGGTTCTTCCTATCCCGCAGGTCTTCCTTTCTTGGTTTCAGACTCTCATATCCGCGGATTTCCTATGGCATGGATTCGCGGATTTCCTATGGCTATTTGCTTCGGCGTGCAAGTCTTAGTGTAGGAAAAATGGAAGGCGGGGAAGAGACAACAGATAAGAATGCGATAAATCCTGAAAATGATAGTGACATATGGACTTCCATCTCTACCACTTGAAAAATGAGGGAAAGTAAAGAGCAATAAAAAGAAGACAATCGCTCCTGCACCTGCTTCTCCATCGCCTGCGCTGGAAGTAAGGATCGTATGCTTGGCTTTTGCTTTCCACACGATGAAATATGGAGTATACGGGTGAATTTCTGGAGTCCATCGCCTTCCCGCCTCTGCCGATTTCGTGACGCAGTAAATGGAACATATGCGTGCCGCCTTTGCGGGACCTGAAGATACCTGACTTTTTATGGAAATGAGGCGAAGGAAGGGGCTGACCCCCAGAGCAGACCAGAGATCGGAGAAAGTTGGAGTAGGAGGCCTACCAAGATCAACCGAGGTCCATCAAAGAATACTCGAAATGCTGTCTTCTTCAGAGTTAGCTTCTTTGACAAAATTCAAGGGGAGATTCTGTCGAGCGTTGGGGCGCCTAGCAGGCGAGGGGCAGAGATTCCTCGATTTTTGACTGCGTTCAAGTGCAGATTTGCTAGTCTGTTAAGCCCTCAACGTTCGGGACGCTAAACTGTGGCTTCCCTCCGAGGAAGCTTTGTTGAGATAAACGACGTTGCTTTCTCTACGCCTTAAACGGAAGATCTCGGACAGATAATGGTCGTCTTGCGAGTGAATTCAGCCGCCCGTAATCTGTCCGTGCTTCTTTTGCGATGTGATTTTCTAGTCCAGAAATCCTTCTAAAAGCGCATCAGGAAACAGAAAAATTAGTGGAATCAAGGAGATAAACCGACCTTACTTTTACGTGCTCGTACATGATGCTGACGTTTACACTCATGAAAGCTGTCGGGAGCGAAAATTCATCTGACCCCATTCGTTTGGGATCGCGGGGCAACCGCCTTTCCTCACTAGGTTCAAGGTTTAAGTTGGGACGTGAAGAGACTATTTCCGCACATATTCACGTTCCGAATCGAGGTCAAGCACTCATCTTAGATGGACCTCCCCTTAAAAATAAATATCTTAAGATATTTATTTTCGGAGAGAGCGTGTTCATCTGCTATTTTTTATTTAGTTAGTTACAGTCATATTGGCCCTCTTTTTTTGGTTTTTTCAATGAAGGCAAGTAACTTCTGAAAGCTATCGACGGAAGGAGCGGGGGCTACATATTCACCTGACGCATTCATCACCCTATGAATATCCGCATACTGTATTCATTCCACAGATTGCGCACGTTCGTTGTGACCCGAGCTATGACTTGATTCGTGGCCCCAAAACACTGAATACATTGTGCGATGACACAAGAACCTGACAAGAGTCTCAGAGATGGAGTGAATCCTACCTTTGTACAAAGATTTTTACCATAGAAGGCGTGCACGGCCAAGTGTTCATTCGCAAAACCGGGAAGATGGAGGTGATTGAGATTGTCTAGGGCAGCGGCGCGCAACCCGCCGCTCGTGGACCTACTTTTAGCGACCCGTTAAGTCTGAAGGGGATGATAAAAATAAGTTACTTTGCGACCCAAGGCCGATCCCAACTTTGGTTGCCCCTTTGTATTAGTTAGAACGAGGATTGTGGGTCCTTTCACTTCCTTCCCGGAATTAATCCTCTCCCCCGAGGGGTTGCAAATGTCTCCAGGGAAGGTGGTTCTCGATGCCAAGGCTATTTTTGGACGTGGGAATTTCCAATGGGTGGAGAAGGCGTGACGGTCGTCAGTTGATCAGCACGACCCTAAGTCACGCGGTCCACTGCACATCCTGAGGGTTGTTAATGGCGATGCCATGTCACCATTGGTGGAAGCTCGCATTAAGAAATTGGCAACCTTGGAGTGCGGTTCGGATCACAACCAGCTGGTACGGAGGAAATATTCCTTTCTCGATTCGCAGTGGCCCTAAGAATTGACGATTGGCGCGCGATATAGAAAACCATTTGAAATCTCGTGCGACACAATTTCAGGCTTTTTCTGTAGTACTCGACGAAAGTGCTGATGTTACTGACACGGCACGACTTGCCATCTTCATCCGCGGGGTGGATGGGGACTTCATTTTAACGGAAGAGATTGCTGCCCTTGTAGGAAAGAAGGATGCCACCACGAGCTTAGATTTATTTCAGGAGTCAATGAAGGTTTTGAAAAGTCTCGGACTTGATTCGAACAAACTACTGTATGTGGCATGACAACGGATGGCGCCTCAGTCACAATCGGCAAGAAGAATAGCTGGACGGCTTTAGCAGCAGAAAAACGTGAAGGTTGGGAATCAATTATGAGGTAATTATGAGTCATTGCATCGTCCACCAGGAAAATCTGTGTGCGAAGTCCGTCCGCATGAAGTATGTTATGACTGTGGTTGTAGCAGCAGTAAATTGCATTCGATCTCGGGGCTTGAACCACCGCCAGTTCCAGACGATGCTGAGTGAGATAGGGGCACAGTACGGAAACGTGCTGTACCACACGGAGGTTCGCTGGCTCAGCGTTCAAGCGGGTGTATGAACTGGAGGACGAAATAGAAATTTTCATGGAATACAAAAGGTAAACCAGCACAGTAGTAGGATTTACAGACGAAGATTGGATGCGGGATTTCGCCTTCCTTATTGACATCACTCAGCATTTGAGCGAGTTGAATCTGAGGCTACAAGGAAAATATCAACCGATCCACCACATGTTTGATCGCATAAAAACATTCGAAACGAAACTTCGACTGTGGGGGTCTCAAATGCGAAAGGGCAACCTAGATGTCTCTTTTCGGGAGCACCTATCAATGCGAACAGCTGTTCTCGAAGATTAAACAGGCAAAATCCAAGATGAGAAGTAGGCTGACGAACGAACATTTGCAAAGTCGTCTGCGAGTGGCCAGTACAAACGTTAAACCTGACATCGACTCACTGGTCCAGCAGAAGCAGTGTCAAGTTTTGCAATAATCAAGGCAACATTTGAAAATAGATATGCCGAATGATAAAGATCCTAATCTAGAAAAATGTGTTCCCTGATTTAACAGAAGAACGAGGGTGAGGGGAGAGAGAGAAAAACCTCTTCTTTTGAATTGAATGGCCCGCGAGCAGAGTCAGACAAACTCATGCGGCCCACTTCCATAAAAGGTTGCACACCCCTGAGTTTAGGGAGAGTGGATACCCAGCTAACACGATAGAATTAGCGCTTGAACGAATGCAGCGCTCGAAAAGTTAGTCTTATTTGATTTTTCAGTGTTCGAGCGATCTTCCGTGATGTGAAATGAACGTTGCCAAAACGTTAACCCTATGAGGAGTGAGTATGCCCGTATACCTCGTATGTACGGGCTGACGTCCTTCTGGCCTTTATATATTCACTATGGGGGATCTTGCAGGCATTAAAAAAACCCACTCCTCCAAATGTCCATTTTGAAAGTATTCGAAGTCACGCTGACTCATTGACGTTGGATAACAGCTATTGCAACTTTTATAATAATATAGCATACCTTTTTTTTAAGAAGAGGCTAAGTCCAAGTTAGGAAAGCGCGCTCACCGGACATATCTCGAGCTTTTAGTCTGTTTAGGATATAAAATGGTAAACGATGCCTTCGCTCCATAAGTAAAGAGAGTGCTAAAAGTAAAATGCTGCCTTCAGAATAAGTACATGATCTTTTATCATTTATTAAATCCGTATTTTATCTTTTTCCCTTTCTACGATGTCTAAGCCCGTCACTCGTGTCCGCATATCTTGCCATCAACGATGGAAAATCCTGGAGAAGGCGTGCAACTTGGTCATTATACCGACGAAGCTCCATAGACCCCCAGCAGAACGTGCCATCGGATAACCCGGGGATTCCACGACTTAAGCCGTGGAATCCAAGTCGTGGAATCCCTGGGTTATCCGGGCCAGATATCTGATTGGAAAGAAAGTTCTCGGAATTTCATGAACAATTATTACAACCCAGTTTATTTAAAAGCAAAATCATCTCAATCATGAATGTAATCACCATTGGCCTCTATCACTTCACGCCAACGTTCATGCAAACTATGGATGCCATTCCAATAGAACTCTGGCGGCTGCGCTACGAAAAAGTTGGCCAAATCGGTTTTCAGGTCGTCTTGGTTGGCGTACTGCTTTCCACCCATGTGACGGTCCAGGGCAACGAAAAGGTGATCATCGGACGGGGCAAGGTCGGGGCTGTAGGGCGGATGCGGCAGCACCTCCCAGCACAGGTCCAGTAACTTTAGATGAGTCTGTCTAGCGGTGTGCGGCCGGGCATCGTCGTGGAGGAGGATGGTTCTCTGTCTTTCTGGGCGTGTTTCAGCCAGTTTCTGCTGCAGCCGATCGAGTTGCTGGCAGTAGTAGGCAGCAGTGATGGTGGTGTTTTGCGGCAACAGCTCAAACATGATGATGCCTTTCGAATCCCAGAAGACCGAGAGCATAATCTTTTTGGGGTGCAACTCCTGACGGGGTTCTCTTTCGGCCGATGCTCCGGCGTCCACCCACTGACGTTTTCGTCGAATGTTGGCATAGAAGGTCCACTTTTCGTCGCCTGTCACCACTGAGTCTAGCCAATCCGTTCGGCGCGAACGTGACAGAAGGGAGATGGCCATGTCTACTCGTCGCTGGCGGTCCCGATCATCCAGCTTGTGGGGTACCCAGCACCCCAACTTTGCCTTCTTGCCAAGCTCAGCCAGATGATGAAGGATAGTTGTATGGGAGACACCCAGCAAGTCCGCAAGCTCTCGCGATGTTTGCCGGTTGTTGGCCTCCAGTGCCTCCTGCAAGGCAGAGTTATCAAACTCCGAAGGACGACCGGTGCGTGGCTGGTCTTCCAGGCTTTCATTTCCTTTCTGGAAGCGACTGTACCAATCATAGGCAGTGCTCTTGGACACAGTGTCCGGGCCAAACGCGGTATTGATGTCAGCGATGGAATTGGCTGCCTTCTTCTTGATTCGGAAGTCATAAAGAAGAAGCAGGCGAACTTGCTCCTTAGTAAGAGGGTAGGGCTGGTTCATGGCTGGAGAGCACCAGGGCTGTAATAATATACGGTTGTATGCCGAAGGACACGACCTACTTATAAACACACGCAGAACATTCTAGCATGCTCTGGAAAAAAATTGTACTGGATATTCAAGAAATTCCGAGAACTTTCTTTCCAATCAGATAATTAGCTGACACTCTTAAGGGGACGCAGTACCCGTTGATTTGGGCTGGCTGGTAAAAAACGCTCTTGGATTCCTAAAAGCTTGGTCCCATACATATGAACGCTATATCAATATCATCCACTCATTGATCTGCTTCTTATGACGGTACTTATAAGTACCGCATCAGTACTAACTAGTACTTGATCTCAGTATCTCGAAAACGGCAGGATTGGTTTAAAAATCCCAAGGTTATTCCACAGAGATGGTCGCTACTGTTACGGATTTGCGAGCGGATGATAAAAAAAATTGGCGTGTTTTCATGGTAGGCGTGCCAAAAGTTTGTGCCATAGAGTTCCATTATAATGGTTTGCTTGCACCTCCAAAAAAAAAAAATAGATGGCAGACCTGTCCCAAGCACTCAAAAAAGGGGCAACGTGAAGAGAGGCCTCCCTTCCTTCCCTCCCCCCTTGAAAAAAAAAAGACTATGCAGTTATGATATATGGACCGATTTGCGCAGAAGTCTTTGATGCGGATACCCTCACATCCGCAAGATAGCCGCCGAAGTATCACTTTTTTCAATGTCATTTTTAGGTTATCAATTATCATGTCTATTCCGCTTTATGGTAGACACGAAGGCAAATTTTGGCTGTGAAGGAAATGGTTTATTCGTTCTGTTGCCTTTCTCGCTGAAGCTCCGAAGACCGGTTCGAAAACAAGGAGAAACTGAATCCTTACTTAGATCAGAACTACTTAGAACTTAGATCAGGACGATATGACGCAAAGACAGCCCCAAGTGACATCCAAATAAACAGAAGTATGACTGCAGGGAGAGGACTAATAAAGGCGGTCAGAATTATTCAATCGATGTTTCGGAGCTTTACATGTCCTATTTCCTCGTCTCACATGCTGGGTGGCATGAAAAAGAATTTCACACCCAAGTGACAATTGAGGAAAACGACTTTCTTTTCTCTCCGACCCCAATACTATTTTCCTATCTAATGTCCCAAATCAGCTTGATTCTGACCCCATGCGCTAGGAAAGGAGAACCTCCCTCCCGGATTTGATGAGCCGGGGTGAGCATTCCCCCTTGAGGAATTCATGTCTAGAAAGGATAGGAAAGGAATAAGCGCAAAGAAACCAAACAGTGAAGGTGACGTCTCATTTCCTTCCTCGGCTTGGAAAGAACGACTTCATCAGTGACCCCTGAGTTCAATGACCTGTTCATGGAAATGAGTTTTCTCTCTGGTATGAGTTGGCAATATAAACTCTTCTATTGCAGCGGTGCCCGACTCAATTTGGCGGGGATCAAATGATTTGGTTCAGATGTGTTTGGGGGCCTCACTAACGACATGCACCACATTTTTAATGCGAACAAGTGAAATTTGCCGTGTGAAATTTCAGAAATTAACTGTTAAAGAGGAAATCACGGGCCGGAGAAAATGAATTGGTGGGTCGGATGTGCCCGCTAGTTGGACACCCGTGCACATAATTTGTTCAAGAACTTTCATGCGATACTGTGGAGCTTTTGCTCTATTGAGTACTGGTGCAGCACGGTGGCTATCAACATTGGAGCCGATGGAGAATCCAGGCCGTCTCTAGATCTATGGTTTGAATACAGTGAAAGATGATTCAACGTGGGCCCTGCAATGAGGAGGACCTCCGATTCAGCCAGGAAATACAGCACCTGGCTTCCAAATAGGAACCATGCTAATTGGTAACTGTAAGCCACATGCTTTATGTCACTATCAACAAAAACTTGAAAACAGCTTAGTTGCAATTACCAATCATCCGATATGTAAGGTCAAAACACTTTATTCTAAGCCTAATATTGGTCTGTAGCATTGCCACTGGACTGGGAAGGAGCAGTGGCGTAGCGAGGGGGGGGGGGGGGGGGGGGGGGGGGGGGGGGGGGCGGCTGCCCCCCCGAG